ATTGTAACTTTTTGTTGTTTGCGGAATTCACATATATTATGTAAAATTACTGCTTCTATAGAGTAGCTTAATACTTTAATTTTACTAGGTATGTTACGAAAAACTTCATACTTATTTCATTTGGCCTGTGTCACTCAGACATTCATGTTTTGTTATTATAAATAATATTTATAACGACAAAACATTAAAATCTATTAGGAGCCTAATGGCAGGGTGCGGATCGCGAACTCAAAAGATCGTGGGTACGAATCCACCATTTGACTACTGTCGTGCACCACTTCTAACACAAGTGTTTCAAACTTACCAGCAGTGGTTAAAAGGAATATTAGCAAATTAATAAATAAGATTACTAATATTTAAAAAAATATACTTTTATTAACTAAGTGATGAATAAATTCGGCATAATTTTACAAAGATGATAAAAAAATTATGAAATACGTAATTGTCTACATAATTATGTCTGTCGCTCTGTTTATTTTTGTCTCTCAAATACAACATAATAAAAAAAATATATTGAATTTTGTATATCGTATTATATAAGCGAAATATATGAAGATGCATATTCTTTTAAAATAAGCAAAGTATGCGGTTTTAATGAGCAAATATATTTCTTATAGGGTTTTTTTTATAATAAGTACTCTATTAAAAACACTATAAGAAATATAAATACTAATTTTTATAAATACAATGCTGACACAAAACAGTTATCCAAAATAATAAAAGCCTTGTAAATAATGCACAGGTTGACCTCAAAACTATAAATACAAAATTTCAATAAATGCCTAAATATTTTTTATATTGAAGAGTACCAACATATTTTGTTTTTCAATGTTTTGAATACGCGTTGTAACCAAAGGGCAGCTCAAATGGATAATGAACTACGTACTCGGACTTACTTGCTTGCTATCTTAACTTTACGAAATCATATTAACATTTAAAATTATGTATATTATTTTTTGAGTCAGTTTTGGCTACATTAGTGTATTTTAGATAAGATTATACGGAATGAATTATGAATAAAATAATAATTCTTTAACTTTACAAAAATCAGCTCCCGAACTCATTTGAACAAGCGTTGTAACAAAAAGCCAAATACGAATTCGAAATTGTCACGTTTTACACCTAAATTATCATCTTTTGAGCCATTTGTTTACACTTGGTAACATTATCTACTCTAAGGCCCGGTTTACATTTTGAGAAGTGAGAAGTGCGAGTGACAACTGATACAAGTGGCAAGTGCCCGAAAAGTGACAAGTGGTATTGCCAATAATTCCCACTTGTCACTTGTCACCTTTCACACGCACTAAACACTTGTCAATTGTCACTTGTCATTGTCACTCGCACTTGTCACTTCTCAAAATGTAAACCGCGCTTAAGTTTAAAAGTATTTTAGCATACTTACAAATAAATAAATATGCGTAGTGTTTTTCCTTTAAATTTCAATTTACTTGATAGGCCTACATAATATATTTGTGACATGTGATTAATACGGAAAAAAACTCTAGTGTTGGTTAGTAAATTATTCGCACTCATAATATTTTAGGTACCATGGCATATAATCTAAATCTAAATAATACCACAGCCCCAAAGTTTACACTAGTATCATTACTACGGTCGAAACTGCTGAACCGTGTAAACATAACAGTGGCCATTTAAATTGACCCTTATAAACAATTTAAAACTAACCGTTGAAACAGGTAAACAGCCACAATAAAGCTGTGCATAGATGCGTGATAGAAGCACGCCTGGCTTCCCGCCGCCACACCATCTCACCAAAATCATCGAACTTCACTGAACCAACATAACACTCCCGAGAAGACACTCAATATAAGTAAGCTACGGAACTCGACCCTCGGACAATTACGAATAACGTAACAGAAAGTTCCTGTGAACTGTGTGGAAGCATAACACGTCCGTCCGCGACGCAGCGTCACATAGAACTAAAGTGTAAAGTCTAAAAAGCTCGGTACATGGTAAATTAAAAGCTTTCCAGGCGCAGGGCGGGGGAGGTTTGAAATGTTTTGGATTTTCACAAAGCCATTTCCCTCCAAGTGCGGAGGCAACGTGCCGTGTTAAGTCTATCTTGCATCTCAATGGCTGATAGAGCTATTTGTATTTTTATTGTCGTTGTTTAATGGTGCGTCGTTAGTTGCCTTACTTCGATGTTAATTGCCTGTAACTGCTAATAGACGAACAACCTCAATACCTTTTTACCTTTCAGTATTTTCAAGTGTCTAGTTTGTTAACATGAATTGATAATTTACTTTAGTCAGTTAGCTTTTGTGATATTGCGCAAATTTGTTTCAATGTTCGTTTCACATCATTTCCAAATACCAATACAAAATTAATTGTAAATTGTAGTTAGTCAATATTCTAAAAAGTTATGCATTCCTCGTCGCAGTGTTTGTGTTTACAAAATGTTCCGCTATATAAGTCAGTAAGTTGACCAATATGGTGCCGTGGTAGCTCAGATGGTTTGCTTGCTGTATTTTTTTTAAAGAATAAGGGTGACAAACGAGCACACAGTCCACCTCATGGTAAGTGGATGCTGTGGCCCATAGACATCTACATTTTCCTCGATCGAGAATCAAAATGCAAATTCGTTATCAATCCTGAAGTCTAGGATAGAGTGCCTCGTTTTTAGTAATAAGTGTCGTCGGTTCTCTACACTCACCGTACGAAATGCAGCTACTATTACGAAATACACATACTATTTTAGTATAGTCATACACCGGCCGATCTGACCCATTCGTGCTACAACCATAATATAGCCACAGCGTGACTCTACCACGTAATGTTTCACAGTACGCGAGCGACCCGGGGTCGATCCCTGCCGGCACCAATGAAATTATTAATTACAATATTAAGTGCTAATTTACCACGTGTTCGGCGGTGATGGAAAACATCGTGAGCAATCCTGCATGTCTGCCAAATAAGAAAAAAATAAATTTCGAAGACATGTGACCTAACGCATTGGGACAGCTCGGGGAACATTTCCTTGCCCTAAATATTGCCATAGCTAACTATGACATTGGGACGTCAAACATTCCCGTTACCCCCCCCGTGACCATGGGTGCTGTAAAACACCCGAAACGTCGGGTATTAAAAATAATATAAATAAAACGCGATAAAATCCGTAAAAGTAGTTTTGAAAACTGCTGCTAAATCAGCTGTAGATTAAGTATCATCAACTTCCATGATCGCCTTTAATTCGTCAATGTCGACCAAAGTTTTCGGACGACCACACGGTTTATTTTTCAGGTCGAAATATCCAGAACGGAAGCGACTAATAACAGGTAGTGCCATCGTTTGTAGTATTTGCTCCGTAAACGACGGTACTCATATTCCGTAATTACTCGAATTTTTAACGTATCCATGATGACGAAAAAGATTTAAATTCGATGAAAATAACGCTATTCAATTAACAAATGACTAGCCTTGAAAAAAAAATTACATGTTTTAAAAAAAAATTAAAATTAGAATTCATACTCGTAGCGTAACAAAAATTATTTTGATTTGAAACACCGATTCCTTCCAAGGATCTTTCTCATGACTATTGAAATAAAAGAAAAACATCCTTATTTCATAGAGAAGACGGTTGGGTGCTACCATCTGCTTGGGATCCTATAATTAATAAAATTAAATCCCAACCCAAGCGTACAACTGCAAGACTTCGAGATACTATAAGTTCATACTACGTAGATCGAAACAATTTTTTTTAAATGTGGATGTAGCTGTAGTCACAGAAAAAATAAATATTTACGTTTAACCATATTATTGTGCTATAAAATCGTTTACTAACTTATTAAATATATAAGCGCAATAGGATTGCTCACATTCTCGTAGTTCATAACTACTACTTAAGCCGCACGTTATAAAGAAGGCTTCAGGCATAGGCGTATATGATATTTATATTCATCTAGGTGGTAGAACTCCTTGTTTGCCTAGAAGTCTGCGCAAATCTGGGTACACACGAGCACACTGTTGTCTAGTGCGAGGGGTGTAGAGAGCTAGTTACAGGCTGTGAGGCATCCTGTCCTAGTCCTCAGTGGTGACAACGCATCAGGAGCCTTCTTTGTTTGAAGTTGGTTGCAGACGTGGCGACGCAGTCGTCACACCGCAAGCGAAACACACCGAAGCTTAAATCACGCTATCAACATTTCGAATCATAAACAGCATACCGTAAAACCTGGCAACTTTGCCCTTGGGATTTGACTTTGCCCAGTTGGGTATTTTTTTGGTAAACTTGATACACAGCGAATTTGACATAACTTAGGAGTATTTTTTTGTCTGTAGTATAAAATTCATTATTTTTCTAGCAACACTAAGTGATGTTATGTCATCTATGTAACTTCAGTTGCCTGTCAGAACTTGTATAAGTTGGTAGTGTTTTTTGGTGGGCAAAAACCAGCACAAAAACTTTACCGAAAAGTGATAGTTGCAGTAACAGCAGGTAAGTAATTTTTTTACAACCGTAAATATATTTAAAATGGATAATATAGACTACTATTTACGCAAAAAATTTCATAAATTCACCTAATATGTTGGTGGGCAAAGTCACACACTTCTTTTTTGAGCATTGTTGACAACATTGCCCACCAATTTATTACCCGTAGGGTTGTCATCTGTAACTTTTTCATTTGCTGTAATTTTTGTTAGTAGCACAAATGAAAGATCTCGTCGATCGTATTTTCTACATATTGTATTCTACGCTTCTGCGTAATTCCGCATTTTGTAACCTTTTTATTATTTGTTTTTATAGTTTCTCAGATATATTGTTTTTGTTTTTATAGGATGAACAGTAATAATAATTCAAATACATGTACAAAAAGAAAAAGAAATAGAAGGAAACTAGGATCCAGAAATTACAAAAACTACTCTAAGGAAATGTTGGATATAGCAGTAGACCTAGTAAAAAAAATGTTATTTCTAGTAGACAAGCCGAAAAACAATTCGGGATACCACGGAGGACCATAATAAATAAGGCAAAAGAAGTGCACATGAAAACGGTTGGGGGACAAAAACTACTAACAGAAATCGAGGAAGAAAATCTTGTAAATGTTCTGGTAGCTGTCAGTGACTATGGTTCTCCAATGACCAAGTTAGACCTGAAAATGCTTGTTTTTAATTATTTAGAAAAAAATTCACGCAGTCATATTTTTAATGGAAAAATGCCCGGAAACACTTGGGTAGAAAATTTTTTAAATAGACATTCATCAAAATTATCAGTTCGAACTACACAAAATATAAAAAAGGTCCGGGCCGAGAAAGGTCTGCTAGAAATGCAAAATTTCTTCGATAATTTACAAGCGACGCTGAAGGATATTCCACCTAGTAACATCCTTAACTACGATGAGACTAATTTGTCTGATAACCCGAGTAATTTAAAATGCATTTTTAGAAGGGGCATAAAATATCCCGAAAGAATTTTAAACAGTTCTAAGAGTTGTGTTTCGATTATGTTTACGGTGTCTGCAGCTGGTGACTGTCTTCCAACATATGTAGTATATAAAGCTACAAATCTATATTCCGAATGGGTTGACGGAGGTCCTGATGGAACTCGTTACAATTGCACGAAATCGGGTTGGTTTGACTCTGCCTGTTTTGAGGATTATTTTAGAACAATTATACTAAAGTGGGCAAAGAATCTTTCAGGGCCAAAAGTCATAATAGGTGACAATTTGTCTAGTCACCTAAATATCGAAGTTGTGGAGCTATGCCAAAAATATGATATTAGGTTTGTGTTTCTTCCACCTAACTCCACACATCTGACCCAACCTCTAGATGTAGCGTTTTTTTGCCCCTTTAAAAAGAGAATGGAGGAAGGTACTCACAAATTACAAAATTCAAAATCCGGAACAGTCAACTAATAATAAAAAGCACTTTCCTAAACTCTTGAACGAATTATTAAAAAATATTAATCTCAGAGAAAGTAATAATATTAAAAGTGGATTTAGAGCCGCGGGAATATGGCCAGTTAATGCCCGAAATGTTTTGAAACGAATACCTGAGTATTTTGACGAAGAAGTGTACAGAATAGATTCAGCTTTATTAGATTACCTACAAAAAACAAGGTGTTCTAAACCAATGGCAGTGAAAAGGAGTAAGAAATTACGTACAGAACCAGGCAAGTCAGTTTGTGCCGCCGATATTTTAATAAAAACAACTAGTAACAAAAGTGTTCAAAATAAGAAATCTAAAAGATTTGAAAACTATCAGGATAATTTTAATGATATAGAAAGCAGCAGGCAAGATTGTGAGATAAATATATTAGAAGAAGTGACTACTGAAAGAGACATAGAAGAAAATGAGCTCGTATTGGATGATAAAATAGGATTTTTTTTAAAAAACACACCTGAACATATTGAAACTACCCAGAAGATAGAACATGAAGGTATAGTTTTTCCGTCCAATAAATCTAACAAAATGCCTTCGACGTCAAATGAAAATGTTTATGGAAATAATTTACAAATGTTCCTATGGTCAAATATATCCCATGTGCTTTATAATCCAGATAGTCTCAGTAAAATCTGTATAACAGTTATAAATAATAATATGATTTCCTTAATAAATTACACTACTCCTCTATCACCAAATGATGTGCATTTATTAAGCAAAAATCGAAAAAGGTGACAAAGAGAACTTGCCATTTATAGTGATAAATGATAATGATTTGCCACCATGTTTGCAATCAACAAATCAAACAAATGTTATAATAACTTCCAATGTAAAATTAGACTGTAAGGAAAGAAAAACACAGAAAAACTTAAGGATCCAAATAGATGCTGGTGCTAAAGTTATTACGCAATCAGCACTGAAAATGAAATTATTTACAAGGGATAAAATAAATAAAATAAACAATGATTCAAGCGTAACGGACAAAAATAATGAATACATAAATATGCAAAAAGAAGAAAATACAACACGAAAACGAAAAAGTATGACTAGAACCACATGCGTAAAGCGTGAAAAAAGGAGTAAAATTAATAAAATCAAAACAAAATCAAGGAAAACAACATCTGTGAATAAGAAGAAATTTAAAAAAAATATTAGTGAATCAAGCTCTGAAATTTCCGACTTTCAATTGAGTATAGCAGAATCAGATGATTCGGAATATGAAACATTAAATGACTACATAAAAATCTGTTTACAAGATCAGTCGGAAAAAGAAAACTTGGAGCCGGACCCGATCCCGTTTGGGATCAGTGATATTGAGTATTTCACAGGCAATGTTGATAATTTAAACGAAGGTGACTGGCTCATAGCAAAATTTGCTACAAAAAAAAAGCGTCAAGCACTTTGTTGGACGGATTTTATTTATTAAAAATAATATCCCTACAATAGAATTTCTAAGGAAAGTTAAAAATACTGCAAATAGCAAAAGATTAACCTTTACGTATCCACCTGTCAAAGATATTTATGAAATGCTTCACGTAGATGACGTTGTTCTCGTCTTACCGCAACCAATAATTACTAGAAGGGGCCAAGTTGTGTTCGAAGTTGATTTTTCTACTTATAATATACAATAAACTTATTATAAAATATTAAGTTACTAGCTGTTCCCCGCAACTTCGCCTGCGTGGATTATTTTCCGCGAAACCCTAAAATAAAAGTAGCCTAAGTTGCTCCTTATAAAATCAGTTATCCGCCAGTGAAAGTCTTATCTAAATCGGATCACTGGTTTTTGCGTGATGTGTGTCCAAACAGATGTTGTGTTAGAGTTTTAGTATAGTATAGAAGAATAGATAAATATATGTTGTAAACTAAAGTTATTTTGTTAAGTACAAAACTTTACTGTTAAATTGTTATGTTATTATTATAATATAATGCAAATTCAGTCTGAAGTAAAATAAGAAACTCTTTGTTTATCTATGCTTAAGTTTTACTTGATCTCAATTGTAACAATCGTTCCTATAAGACTGAGAATATTTTGTATAATAATTAAAACATTAAGAATAGCTGCTATTATATTTACGTAATTAAAATACTAATTATAGATGACATATTTGATTTGTTTATGAAAGATAGAAGAAGACAGTTAAGAAGATGATTACATCCTTTAAAAATCTCTTAGGTGTTTTTGATATTTAAGCTGGACCTATAATATAAGCTAGTTTGATTATAGTCGCAAGTAAAATTATTGGGTACACACTACACCTATGTTTAAGTGTTCCTTGATTTCGATTTTAAATCGAAATCTAAAAATACCCAAAGAACCTGTGCTCAATAATATAAGTTTAGGTATTTTTAGTTTATTCTATTACATGTTGTACTTTTATTCCTTTTATTCTTTATTGTTAATCGCTACGTAACTCAAACAAACAGTATATGTAGGTACACCGTTGTTCTTTATTTTGTATCCATTATGATTGCACTTTTTGAATTTATTACGTCAATAAATATTTTATCTATAAAAAGTTTTCATTTATTATTGTAATAAAGCATTTTTTTAATGGTGACAGCCCTTAGACGTTGATCGTTATTGTAAGAAAAATGTTCTAGGTGGGTTTTTGACTTTGCCCACTCAATTTTAAAGGACAATGAATATGACTATTAAACTGATATTTTAATATAATACTGCATTGCTCTACATTTATGTTTAGCTATTTTAAGATTTTTGATACGGTTTATAATATCGGAAATATTTAAAGTTGGCAAAGTTGCCAAAAATCTATGAATTTTTGCCCACCACATATGAATGTGTTTTTTACAAATATACATACAACTTTCTGGATATTTTAAGAAATAAATATCGAGACATGAACTTAAAGTACTGTGTGGTACAAATATGGTATGAAACATATAACGGGTTTTCAAAATAACTCAAAAAATGCAAGAATATTCTCATTTTTAGGGCAAAGTTGGCATGTTTTACGGAATATAAAAGTTTTCCTAAAGATATTGAAACATTGCTACAACCTGGTAAATTTAACAATTAAACTATTGCACATTCAATCATTGTAAGCTAAGAGATTCAGGTTTATCATCCTAGTACTTAAGAACATAATAATATAAGACATTACAAAAAAAGAAAAAATCATCATAGATAGTTCGGAGATGTGATACCGTAAAACATGCCAACTTTGCCCTAAAAATGAGAATATTCTTGCATTTTTTGAGTTATTTTGAAAACCCGTTATATGTTTCATACCATATTTGTACCACACAGTACTCTAAGTTCATGTCTCGATATTTATTTCTTAAAATATCCAGAAAGTTGTATGTATATTTGTAAAAAACACATTCATATGTGGTGGGCAAAAATTCATAGATTTTTGGCAACTTTGCCAACTTTAAATATTTCCGATATTATAAACCGTATCAAAAATCTTAAAATAGCTAAACATAAATGTAGAGCAATGCAGTATTATATTAAAATATCAGTTTAATAGTCATATTCATTGTCCTTTAAAATTGAGTGGGCAAAGTCAAAAACCCACCTAGAACATTTTTCTTACAATAACGATCAACGTCTAAGGGCTGTCACCATTAAAAAAATGCTTTATTCCAATAATAAATGAAAACTTTTTATAGATAAAATATTTATTGACGTAATAAATTCAAAAAGTGCAATCATAATGGATACAAAATAAAGAACAACGGTGTACCTACATATACTGTTTGTTTGAGTTACGTAGCGATTAACAATAAAGAATAAAAGGAATAAAAGTACAACATGTAATAGAATAAACTAAAAATACCTAAACTTATATTATTGAGCACAGGTTCTTTGGTATTTTTAGATTTCGATTTAAAATCGAAATCAAGGAACACTTAAACATAGGTGTAGTGTGTACCCAATAATTTTACTTGCGACTATAATCAAACTAGCTTATATTATAGGTCCAGCTTAAATATCAAAAACACCTAAGAGATTTTTAAAGGATGTAATCATCTTCTTAACTGTCTTCTTCTATCTTTCATAAACAAATCAAATATGTCATCTATAATTAGTATTTTAATTACGTAAATATAATAGCAGCTATTCTTAATGTTTTAATTATTATACAAAATATTCTCAGTCTTATAGGAACGATTGTTACAATTGAGATCAAGTAAAACTTAAGCATAGATAAACAAAGAGTTTCTTATTTTACTTCAGACTGAATTTGCATTATATTATAATAATAACATAACAATTTAACAGTAAAGTTTTGTACTTAACAAAATAACTTTAGTTTACAACATATATTTATCTTTTCTTCTATACTATACTAAAACTCTAACACAACATCTGTTTGGACACACATCACGCAAAAAACCAGTGATCCGATTTAGATAAGACTTTCACTGGCGGATAACTGATTTTATAAGGAGCAACTTAGGCTACTTTTATTTTAGGGTTTCGCGGAAAATAATCCACGCAGGCGAAGTTGCGGGGAACAGCTAGTAACTTAATATTTTATAATAAGTTTATTGTATATTATAAGTAGAAAAATCAACTTCGAACACAACTTGGCCCCTTCTAGTAATTATTGGTTGCGGTAAGACGAGAACAACGTCATCTACGTGAAGCATTTCATAAATATCTTTGACAGGTGGATACGTAAAGGTTAATCTTTTGCTATTTGCAGTATTTTTAACTTTCCTTAGAAATTCTATTGTAGGGATATTATTTTTAATAAATAAAATCCGTCCAACAAAGTGCTTGACGCTTTTTTTTGTAGCAAATTTTGCTATGAGCCAGTCACCTTCGTTTAAATTATCAACATTGCCTGTGAAATACTCAATATCACTGATCCCAAACGGGATCGGGTCCGGCTCCAAGTTTTCTTTTTCCGACTGATCTTGTAAACAGATTTTTATGTAGTCATTTAATGTTTCATATTCCGAATCATCTGATTCTGCTATACTCAATTGAAAGTCGGAAATTTCAGAGCTTGATTCACTAATATTTTTTTTAAATTTCTTCTTATTCACAGATGTTGTTTTCCTTGATTTTGTTTTGATTTTATTAATTTTACTCCTTTTTTCACGCTTTACGCATGTGGTTCTAGTCATACTTTTTTCGTTTTCGTGTTGTATTTTCTTCTTTTTGCATATTTATGTATTCATTATTTTTGTCCGTTACGCTTGAATCATTGTTTATTTTATTTATTTTATCCCTTGTAAATAATTTCATTTTCAGTGCTGATTGCGTAATAACTTTAGCACCAGCATCTATTTGGATCCTTAAGTTTTTCTGTGTTTTTCTTTCCTTACAGTCTAATTTTACATTGGAAGTTATTATAACATTTGTTTGATTTGTTGATTGCAAACATGGTGGCAAATCATTATCATTTATCACTATAAATGGCAAGTTCTCTTTGTCACCTTTTCGATTTTTGCTTAATAAATGCACATCATTTGGTGATAGAGGAGTAGTGTAATTTATTAAGGAAATCATATTATTATTTATAACTGTTATACAGATTTTACTGAGACTATCTGGATTATAAAGCACATGGGATATATTTGACCATAGGAACATTTGTAAATTATTTCCATAAACATTTTCATTTGACGTCGAAGGCATTTTGTTAGATTTATTGGACGGAAAAACTATACCTTCATGTTCTATCTTCTGGGTAGTTTCAATATGTTCAGGTGTGTTTTTTAAAAAAATCTTATTTTATCATCCAATACGAGCTCATTTTCTTCTATGTCTCTTTCAGTAGTCACTTCTTCTAATATATTTATCTCACAATCTTGCCTGCTGCTTTCTATATCATTAAAATTATCCTGATAGTTTTCAAATCTTTTGGATTTCTTATTTTGAACACTTTTGTTACTAGTTGTTTTTATTAAAATATCGGCGGCACAAACTGACTTGCCTGGTTCTGTACGTAATTTCTTACTCCTTTTCACTGCCATTGGTTTAGAACACCTTGTTTTTTGTAGGTAATCTAATAAAGCTGAATCTATTCTGTACACTTCTTCGTCAAAATACTCAGGTATTCGTTTCAAAACATTTCGGGCATTAACTGGCCATATTCCCGCGGCTCTAAATCCACTTTTAATATTATTACTTTCTCTGAGATTAATATTTTTTAATAATTCGTTCAAGAGTTTAGGAAAGTGCTTTTTATTAATAGTTGACTGTTCCGGATTTTGAATTTTGTAATTTGTGAGTACCTTCCTCCATTCTCTTTTAAAGGGGCAAAAAACGCTACATCTAGAGGTTGGGTCAGATGTGTGGAGTTAGGTGGAAGAAACACAAACCTAATATCATATTTTTGGCATAGCTCCACAACTTCGATATTTAGGTGACTAGACAAATTGTCACCTATTATGACTTTTGGCCCTGAAAGATTCTTTGCCCACTTTAGTATAATTGTTCTAAAATAATCCTCAAAACAGGCAGAGTCAAACCAACCCGATTTCGTGCAATTGTAACGAGTTCCATCAGGACCTCCGTCAACCCATTCGGAATATAGATTTGTAGCTTTATATACTACATATGTTGGAAGACAGTCACCAGCTGCAGACACCGTAAACATAATCGAAACACAACTCTTAGAACTGTTTAAAATTCTTTCGGGATATTTTATGCCCCTTCTAAAAATGCATTTTAAATTACTCGGGTTATCAGACAAATTAGTCTCATCGTAGTTAAGGATGTTACTAGGTGGAATATCCTTCAGCGTCGCTTGTAAATTATCGAAGAAATTTTGCATTTCTAGCAGACCTTTCTCGGCCCGGACCTTTTTTATATTTTGTGTAGTTCGAACTGATAATTTTGATGAATGTCTATTTAAAAAATTTTCTACCCAAGTGTTTCCGGGCATTTTTCCATTAAAAATATGACTGCGTGAATTTTTTTCTAAATAATTAAAAACAAGCATTTTCAGGTCTAACTTGGTCATTGGAGAACCATAGTCACTGACAGCTACCAGAACATTTACAAGATTTTCTTCCTCGATTTCTGTTAGTAGTTTTTGTCCCCCAACCGTTTTCATGTGCACTTCTTTTGCCTTATTTATTATGGTCCTCCGTGGTATCCCGAATTGTTTTTCGGCTTGTCTACTAGAAATAACATTTTTTTTTACTAGGTCTACTGCTATATCCGACATTTCCTTAGAGTAGTTTTTGTAATTTCTGGATCCTAGTTTCCTTCTATTTCTTTTTGTACATGTATTTGAATTATTATTACTGTTCATCCTATAAAAACAAAAACAATATATCTGAGAAACTATAAAAACAAATAATAAAAAAGGTTACAAAATGCGGAATTACGCAGAAGCGTAGAATACAATATGTAGAAAATACGATCGACGAGATCTTTCATTTGTGCTACTAACAAAAATTACAGCAAATGAAAAAGTTACAGATGACAACCCTACGGGTAATAAATTGGTGGGCAATGTTGTCAACAATGCTCAAAAAAGAAGTGTGTGACTTTGCCCACCAACATATTAGGTGAATTTATGAAATTTTTTGCGTAAATAGTAGTCTATATTATCCATTTTAAATATATTTACGGTTGTAAAAAAATTACTTACCTGCTGTTACTGCAACTATCACTTTTCGGTAAAGTTTTTGTGCTGGTTTTTGCCCACCAAAAAACACTACCAACTTATACAAGTTCTGACAGGCAACTGAAGTTACATAGATGACATAACATCACTTAGTGTTGCTAGAAAAATAATGAATTTTATACTACAGACAAAAAAATACTCCTAAGTTATGTCAAATTCGCTGTGTATCAAGTTTACCAAAAAATACCCAACTGGGCAAAGTCAAATCCCAAGGGCAAAGTTGCCAGGTTTTACGGTTTTACTTTTAAGAAGTTTGAATAAATGTGAGCTGAGAATTTGTGTTATTATAATTCCAAATAAAGACTGATTTACATATTTTTTTTAATTCTACATCTCCGAGATGACCTTTTTAGTGCTTTTCAAAATATGAAACACAGAAAAATTATTTCGTAGTTTTCGTAAATGCTGAATATTTCTTATATTTTTTTAACCTATTTCAATTTTCTTGTTCGTTTGTCATTAACTAATAACCGGTTTTACCATAATATTAAAAAAAATATTTGAGCATATTTATTTGATTATACAAAGTTTAAGAAACATAACCTGAATCGCCCAACAAATTGGGTGGTATCGTCTTTTGGTAAGAGTATTCTTACGACTCTATTATACGGCAAATGCATTTCTACGCACATTTATGAATGTGGTTGTTCTCACGTTCACAATAAACAACATTTATAAAATTTTGAAGTCTAATCAAACTTAAAAAAATATCTGTAAGTATATATTTTATGAAGAATATCATTATTCAACGAGGCGAATGATATGGATGAAATATTTCCATTAAACACTATGCCGCAAATTAAAAGAAAAAAGAAATTCAACATTAGATTATAATAACTAAATTCATTTTATTTAACTATAAATAAATGTCAAGAACAAAAAGTAAATAACGCAATTCTGATTTTAAGATAATTTACCACTTCCATATCGCAGAAGTTCTGAGAAAATTACACTGATAGACAGTCTGAGAGGTAGCACGAAGCAGTGATGATGTTTCTAAATTAAAGTCCACGTGAGTAAAGCTGTCCTTAAATGTTAGTACTAAAATATTTTTACATATTAATATATTTTAAACATTTTTAAAATATTAAAACGGCAGTTTTATAGCAAAGAGGACTTTCCTTTGTTTTTTATTTTATTTTTTATTTTAAGAACTTTATCGTTGTTCAGATTTAGACTATTCTATTTTACTTTACTTACTCATTATTCTATTTTATAGAAATAATATAAAAATGTAATCATTTTCCTTTTGAAACAGCATTTATGATGCAGAAGTTGACATATTTGCTACCAACCAACGCGGAAGCGGTATAGAACAAAGTACAATAGAATAAGTTTTATCAGTCACGGCTTCGCGCGGGTGATGTCAGGAATTCTACAACGGCAACACCTGCCGGGTCGGACTCCACCTATAAGAATAAGAAGTGCAAGTAAAATACTGACAAAGTTTTACCGCAATCTGATGAATAGTACGGGAGTGCATAAAATACGAACAAACAAACATTAATTTTTATATATTAGGTAGATTACAAGAATACTTTTTTATATGTGTTCACCGCTAAGGTGTCCTCCAACACAAGTCGGAGACTTTCCTCAACTATGTACGAGCTACAACGACTTTCTTTTTGCAGCCCTTGCTTTGTTGGATAGTGGGGAAAATCTGAAGTTACTTCCAGTTTTCTGTGTTTATGTTTTGCTTTTTATTTTAAAGTGTAAGTGCTACAATTTTGCTTTTTTCCTAATTTCAAGAATAAAATTTCCTTTCACACTATGTTTACGCTACATTTGAACATCTTTATTTTGTTAGTATATTCTGAACATATAACACGGTATGGTTGCGCCAAAAATAAACAATACATCAACAATGGCTTATTTTATAAATAACACATTAAGTTTTATGCAACTAATTAAGACGAGGCATGACCCTAAACGCAAGTTTTATAATGCCTCAAAGTAAATGATCCACTGCAGTAAACAAACCCAGAAAAATGTATGATATTGTCCAGGATATATCCTAGTTAGATAGTGTGTTGAAAACATGATACTACTAATTTAATACGATAGAAAAAAATCACAAACATACCTCCAAAAATTTCTTTTAACTAGTAAAAACCATACTAGTATACATTCAATCATTCTGATTTTTTGTCAGATTTTTATACATTGAACATATTATCGTTATAGTGTTTCAATTTTTTAGTCCAACTAATGGTTTTTTTTTTAAAATCACATATTCTTATTTCTGAAATAATACGTACGGATGTTTGCGTAAACGCCTGTGCAGTCACTGCCGGCCGAGGCCTGGTGCTGTAGAGACGTGTCGCTCTTTTTGCCGCAGTATTTACGTTAAGATTTTTTAAGGACGCGTTTACAAAATTGATATAGGTATAGAATCGAACTATTACATTGACATGAGTCACGCACACAAGTGTACGCACGGTTGGCTGCGGGAATCGTAGTCAAATAAAATTATTTTAATAATTTGAAAGATCAAATTTGTTTTTGATTTCTTACACCACAAAAATATACTTAGATACATAGAGTAATAAGACTTAGTTACGAGGTACGAATACCTACTCTAGAGACTGCTTTGCACTGGGAGCCCTCTGCTGGCACTGAGAAGTTAGCTGTGGACTTTGGGCTGATTTTGTCAGTTATGATAAGACCTTACCTCCGGACTTGATGGAGTGACCTGAAAGTGAACTTCAGTAACTAATACTGGAACACCTGGACTAGTAGAACTAGGTGTGCCGACTTTGGGCTCGTTTTATTAGGTATGACGAGCCCTTACCTCCGGACTTGACGGAGTGACCTGAAGGTGTACTTTAGTAATCGGTATTGGAGCAGGTCGCCGAGTAGGTATTACTAGGTGTGCCGAGTTTGGGCTCGTTTTGTTAGGTATGACGAGCCCTTACCTCCGGACTTGACGGAGTGACCTGAAGGTGTACTTTAGTAATCGGTATTGGAGCAGGTCGCCGAGTAGGTATTACTAGGTGTGCCGAGTTTGGGCTCGTTTTGTTAGGTATGACGAGCCCTTACCTCCGGACTTGATGGAGTGTCCTGAAGGTGTACTTTGGTAATCGGCATTGGAACAGGTCGCCGAGTACTATTAGGTGTGTCGAGGTTGGGCTGCTTTTGTTAGATAAGACGAGCCCTTACCTCCGGACTTGACGGAGTGACCTGAAGGTGTACTTTGGTAATCGGCATTGGAACAGGTCGCCGAGTACTACTAGGTGTGATGGGCCTTTCAGACGGCCTTCCCGACGGAGTGCTGGTCTTTGGCGGCATTGACAGGTCGCCGATTACTAGGGTGCCGATGCCGGTTTTGTTAAGTATGACGAGCTCTTACCTACGGACTTGACGGAGTGACCTGAAGGTGTACTTTGGTAATCGGCATTGGAACAGGTCGCCGAGTACTACTAGGTGTGCCGGAGTTTGGGCTCGTTTTGTTAGGTATGACGAGCCCTCACCTACGGACTGGGAGTGACCTGAAGGTGTACTTTGGTAATCGGCATTGGAACTGGTCGCCGAGTACTACTAGGTGGGCCGAGTTTGGGCTCGTTTTGTTAGGTATGACGAGCCCTTACCTCCGGACTTGACGGAGTGACCTGAAGGTGTACTTTGGTAATCGGTATTGGAACTGGTCGCCGAGTACTACTAGGTGGGCCGAGTTTGGGCTCGTTTTCTTAGGTATGACGAGCTCTTACCTCCGGACTTAACGGAGTGACCTGAAGGTGTACTTTGGTAATCGGCATTGGAACAGGTCGCCGAGTACTACTAGGTGGGCCGAGTTTGGGCTCGTTTTCTTAAGTATGACGAGCTCTTACCTCCGGACTTGACGGAGTGACCTGAAGGTGTACTTTGGTAATCGGCATTGGAACAGGTCGCCGAGTACTACTAGGTGTGCCGAGTTTGGGCTCGTTTTTGTTAGGTATGACGAGCTCTTACCTACGGACTTGACGGAGTGACCTGAAGGTGTACTTTGGTAATCGGCATTGGAACAGGTCGCCGAGTACTACTAGGTGGGCCGAGTTTGGGCTCGTTTTGTTAGGTATGACGAGCCCTTACCTCCGGACTTGACGGAGTGACCTGAAGGTGTACTTTGGTAATCGGTATTGGAACAGGTCGCCGAGTACTACTAGGTGGGCCGAGTTTGGGCTCGTTTTGTTAGGTATGACGAGCTCTTACCTCCGGACTTGACGGAGTGACCTGAAGGTGTACTTTGGTAATCGGCATTGGAACAGGTCGCCGAGTACTACTAGGTGTGCCGAGTTTGGGCTCGTTTTATTAGGTATGACGAGCTCTTATCTCCGGACTTGAAGGAGTGACCTGAAGGTGTACTTTGGTAATCGGTATTGGAACAGGTCGCCGAGTACTACTAGGTGTGCCGAGTTTGGGCTCGTTTTGTTAGGTATGACGAG